TAGCAATTAAAAATTATTAGATACCTTCTTGCATATTACTACTACTACTACTACTACTACTAAATACAACTTAAACCAATACTACTTCGAAAACTATTCCCTTTATTTTCTTACAAGTTGCGTCCTATAGCACAAACAGTTATAAAAAAAAGACAAACAATGAGATATTTACTGCTTCTAACTGTTAGTTTATAAAAAACACAATTAATCAATAGTGAATTGTCATCAACACATGAGGTACTTAATTCTATATTATGTGGATTTTTCGGAAGAAGAAATAACTTATTGTACAAAATCTCTCGTGGTTTGGATAAGACGCGTTGTGTGTGTGTGTGTGTGTGTGTGTGTGTTTGTTTGTGTGTGTTGGACCTACAGACGGCAGGGTTGGCGGTGAAATATAAATAGCCAGCGAGAGGGTCAGGTAAGAGCATTGTGTCGCGCGCTTGTAATTACCACCAGGTGTTCCTCCTCTGCCTCACCTGCCGTCTCTAATACCCCAACACCGAAACTCTCGATTTATGAGAAATTCGCGACGTAATTTCTATATAATTATGCATAACCAACAGTTTAATTAATCGCGTTACAGTGGTAATATAACGTTCTTAGTTTCCTCAATATAAGAATCAATGGAACACCTAATCATTAGCCCCCCAACTTATCTTACCTGATGATTAAATGCCGTAACGCTACCTGGGAGATTAGGTTAGGTTAGATTAGGTTAACTTAGGTTAGATTTGGTTAGGTTAGGGTAGATTGAATTAACGTTAGGGTAATAATCTACTGGGAAATTAACGGGGAGATACTGTAATCTTCAGGTGACCTAAATTAAATACCCCCATCCCAGGAATGCATCATTGTTAAGTCTCTACCGCCACTTCAACTATTTCGTGCTGAAGTGATACACACAGTTGTTTTGGCTGAACCTTTTATTTTTGGGGCTTGACGTAGGCGAGCAGCGGAAATTCACTGGGCGAGCCACAGTCACCGAGGGATTCTGTATATTCAATTCTGTTGTGAAACCCAGTTTTCTCGTTCGTTACGCCATACTCGTGTTGATGGTAGAGGTTTGATGTTCTCACTGTGGCTTATTTTACCTCGACAACAACATCAGTCGGTGCCTCAAACACTTGTCATAGCTGTCTGTTGTAAATGGCACAAGAACAAGAGGTCTTCAGGTAAACACACACACACACACACACACACACACACATATACACAAGCATACACACACACACACTCACACACAAACACAAGCATATACACTGGACACACACCCACACACACACACACACAATGCATATTATATCATTATGTCTAAATCAAATGTAAGTCTATATTTTCAGCCACCGGCTGCAACTCTATTAATAAACCGTTTATTATTATTATTAATATTATTTTATTTTACAAACGCCACGGCCAGTAGGGCATAATTATAATACTCTGGGTTCTGGGTTGAAATTTGGGAATATCAAAGTAGCTAATATGTATTCCTATGAAAAAATTAATTCCAAGATGGGTTCATTATTTGCAACTTTTCCAAAAAATCTCATTTACATGGTTAAAATCGCGATTTTCTGATTTGAAGGCTGCCTAACGCAGCCTCAGGGCACCCAAACTATAGCGCAAAGTTGGTTTTCTGACCGCATCCTTGCTTTCTTGCGTATTTCAACACCTCTGGGTGCTGAATTTTTTTTTATATATTTCACGTAAAACTTAAAAATTTTAAGTTTGTCTTCAAAATTTAGGCGCGGCTCACCAACTTTACTCTGATCGAGTAGCGGGAGACTTGCCACCTCCACGTGTAGGTTTACACGCCTGTTCTTCCTGGAACCCTGAAAAGTGTGGCCTCATAATTATAATCTTATATTATGATCTTATAGGGACTTTCAGCCCTTATGAGCATTAACGATGGCTTCAGCCTCTTCATCAGCCACTCGAACCTGAAAAGCTCTTAAGTATGTCCTGCTTCGATCTGAACACTGGGAGCATTTCTCGATGTCTATCATGGCTCTCACCCACCCATCTCTCTTCTCGTGACCGTACACGGCTTGGGAAGCAGTTGAGACTTCCTGTACAGAGCTCTCTCGCAGGACTGAAAATGAACAGAGAAAGCGTCCTCTTTGAGTGGAGTTTTCCTGAGATTCTCGAGCTCAGTCAAGGTCATATTGCAGGTGAAAATAGGCTGGTAAATATTATCTGATTCCCATTTGATGAGAACCTCAGGTGAAGTGGCTTGCAGATTGACTTTGTAATTTTTAGGGGCCTCACTGTCGTATCACCAAAGTCTCCTCCTTCTTGATCTTCTCTATCTGCCTCACACCAAAGGCTCTCTGATGTTCATCCTCACTAAACAGGAATGAAGCCAGGATGTTCTCAGGATGAGCGTGGTAAGCTCCTCTTATCACTGCAGCAGAGATGATGTTCCTGACCTCGGGAGTCTGGTTCCTCAGTCGCCAACTCAAAAAAAAAATGATTTAACAATTTTATTTATTGGTGATAATAAACATGAGTTTATTAGGAATAAATGTATATACGGAAATACATGTAAGGGATAATCCACTAATCACCATCATAAGGCAGGTCTTACAGTACCATGAATCATTCCTATTTATTGCAAGTATACACACAGGAGTGACCAAGAGACGCGAAGCAGGACCTTGTGATAAGAAGAGTGTATCCGTGTATATACTCTCTATTACCCGCTGTGCATCCTCCCATATATGCGTTGTTATTTTCTCTGCTATAAGAGTATATATCGTGTTAGGTGTTGAATAATGTAGATAGTTTTTTTATAGTGATTAAAATAATGATGGAGACAAATTATTATTATTATTATTATTATTATTATTATTATTATTATTATTATTATTATTATTATTATTATTATTATTATTATTATTATTGTATCTACCTATATTTCAATAACATCACTGAGTATAAAAAAAATACCTCCTCGAAAATATTTTTGTTACAGTACACAAAATAAATCCATTTAACTCGGAATAATATGAAGTTAAAACTGTAAATTTTCGTTCACTGTTGACGGGTTTTCAGTATACTGTATATTGTACCTGAACTATACAATACATAGATTACATATTATATGATGCATGCTGACTGACAGGTGATGTCATTTTCACCAGCGGCGCCTTAGAAAAACCTTTTTGGTATTTTTCCTTTTGTTTTTATTTACTCTTTTTTAGATTTTAATTTTTCTCTTGTTTTAATATTAGACAAGAGTGTTAAAAGTCAACTATTTCTCTTGGAATTTGTGTTGATCTTTTACAGTAACTTAGAGAGTGGATTTTATTATTATATTGTATAGAAAGTTGTTTAAGAAATGTGATTAGTGTGTTTGGTAGGTAATTACATTTCAGTTAGTTGCAACGTGTAGATGCAAGTGGTGTCAGATGTACTGTAGGTGGTGTTAGATGTAAGTGGTGTGAGAGGCAGGTGATATCAGAAGCAGGTGATGTGAGAGGCAGGTGGTGTCAGACTGGAGGTGGTGTCAGATGTAGGTGGTATCAAAGGCAAATGGTGTCAGAAGCATGTATTAGAAGCAGCAGGTGGGGTTCAAAATAGGTAGTGTCAGAGGCATCATGTGGTATCAGAAGCAAATGGTGGCAGAGGCAGGTGGTATCAGAAACAGATAGTGTCAGCAACAGGTGGTATCAAATCAGGTTATGTCAGTATACTGGTGTTAGAATAAACGTTATGCCCACCTACGATATGTATTTTTGCCATCAAAGTTTTACGTTAGTGAATATAGGTGGCGCTACTCCTACAAGCCGAGGGTTGAAGTAATAACAGTGAGAGGGAGAAGCACTGCAGGGTACAAAGAGAAAGAGAGAGAGAGTGAGAGAGAGAGAGAGAGAGAGAGAGAGAGAGAGCAAGAATAAATACATATATATATATATATATATATATATATATATATATATATATATATATATATATATATATATATATATATATATATATATATACCTGTACAATTATGTTTCCTGGGTTGTAAGCGACAAGCACCAGTATCATACATTGTGTTACCGGGATAAATATACATAGAGTTATGAATTGTATTTACACCTGACTATATGATGTTAATGGTTGGTTTCAGCTTTTCGTTTTTACTCTCAAAGCAAACACAGGTAATGAACTGTAATATGTGTTGACTTGAGGGGCTGGTGACGGGTTAGAGATCAACTCTTGAGGGTCACGGAGTAAATAAGTTTTAGAATCACCGAACTAGAAACTGGCGACTATGTCATACACGAATCGATTAATCAGCGAAACTATAATGAGTGACATTATTTCGAGGGCCGATAATTAACACCATTTACTCCAATTTATATTTTAATATTAAATCAGATCCTAAATAAGCACGATTAAAAGTGCCTATAGTGAAATAAAAAAAGAAAAGAAAAACTAGGTAAAACCAAGGTCAGGATATTTTTTTCGCCGCCCAAAAATCTTCAAATTGGAAAGTAAGGGCTTGAAATAACCCCAAAGCGTAATTCTAACGAGATTCTAGAGGCTAGAAAGGACGGAGAGACGGTTTGCTCGATGCCTAAGACAGACTAACATGTCAGGCATAAAGACAGACAAATATACAGACGGAAGAAGATAAGACTATGAAAAATGTGTATTGTTGCCACTGTTGCTAAAACACACTTTCACACTCTTTACTCCATGATATAGACACTCTTATTCAGTTTACCCACAACACAAGCAAAACCTTACAGCCAACCTCGACACTCACCCCACCAACTACCACCACCAGCAATAACACCAATACCACCACCACCACCACCACCACAACTACCAACAGCAGCAACAACACCAATACCACCACCACCACCACCACCAACAACAACACCACCACCACCACCACCACCACAAACACCACCACATAGACCAACAGCAACAACAACACCATCACCACCACAACCACCATAAAAACCACCACCACTCACAATCCCTGCACCTCCCTCCTACTACAGGTATCGTGGATTCGCCGCTGGGACTGGCACATCCTCACTACTGGGATCTACACCTACACCAGCGATATGCGATTCAATGTCCTCCACACTGAAGGCTCCGACGACTGGACGCTGCAGCTGAAGTACGTTGAAACCCGCGACAACGGCACCTACGAGTGTCAGGTGAGTCTTACTAGAAAAAAAAAGATCACCTGAATATTACCCCCACTAGCCCATTTTCCCTGATGATTAAACACCCTAACGCTACCTTGGGGTGTTAGGTTAGGTTAGGTTCGGTCTGGTTATCTTAGGTTAGGTGAAGTTCTGTGAGGTGAGGTTAGGTTAGGATAGGCTAGCTTAAGTTAGGTTAACATTACAGTAGGGTGGTTAGTCTTAAGGTGAAGCAAACTGGGTTAGCTGACATTTAGGTGATCCCAAAAAAGATTCTCTAGAGTTACGACAGGTGAACATATTCTCACAGTTAACATTGGGTCCCATGAGAGCCTATTACATAACCGTGACCTAACTGTAACTGACAGCTTCTGATCACCACAGTAACACGAGGAAATGATATTGGTGTGTGTGTCTGTATCACTGTTTACCATCACTCCCAGACGTCCCAAAGTACAATGATTTGGTGTAGTGAGTCATACACACACACACACACACACACACACACACACACACACACAGAAAATTGTCTGAATATATAAAATGGTAAAGTCTGCCTAGAATTTTTGGCTGAATATACAGTAATGTATTTTTGCAACAAGACATCTGCAATATAAAGGACTTGGATTGCATATTAAAAGACGTCACACTCTGGTAACAGATAAGATCTTATAACTGTTTCTTCACTAGTCATGTTTTATAGGTCACTGTTTACAGGCTTATGTTGTAACTTACAAGTCGAAGTTTTAAACTTTCCTACTTAAGCACAGTTTCTTACATTTGTTATTATAGTATAGTTACCAGGTCACAGCTTTGTAATATCTTTTTTACTTTTCAACACAAACTGGTGAGCGCTCACACGCCTCATCTGCATATCATAATTGACAGGTCAAAAGTCACGAAAACATGATAGTTAGCTTGAAGATTATAAGCAGCAAAGTAAACATTACAGGTAAACACGCTACAGACACGTGTGTTGTCTCTACCTGATCAGTAGCCCACCTGAGGTTAACTGGAAAAGAAGGTTCCCTACTCATTGAGGGAAAAACTATCGCTCTATCACCCAGAACGTTCATGAGACATCACAGAGGATTCATCCATACAGTGGTGTTAGTAATGTCCGTGTGTCTGTGTTCTGTCCTTTTGTTAATAACTCATGACGGAGGGAGACGGATAGTTCTTGTAACTTGGCAGGAGCATTCTCACCCACCCTCTCCTTCCTCCCTTCCTCAGCCCCCTCCCAACCCCATCACCGCGCTCCCCCTGCCCCCCCCCCTTATTTTAATCCAAGATCTTTGATCTTTATGGCGTTCATTGATATATCACGTTGTGCTAGACTTAACACATAAGTTTACATGCGGTAATTACTTTATTGATGAATGCGTGAGAGGATGAAGAATTTAACTGCTTAGATAAGAACTTGTGCGAAATAAAAAAAAGGAAATAATATACACATTCCACGTCTGTTTTATTCTATTTAACAAACCCATTCATTTTCCATGATTGAAATATTTTATTTAGATAAAATGTAAAATTATGGCCTGTCCTAGATCACCCAATAAAAAATAAAATCCAATATCTATTCACCAACACAAATAAATCTGAATAATAAATAGATTTTGAATCAAAACAAAAGCCAAAAATCCCGGGCATTATGTTGGCCGTCTGCCTGATTACTGGTGCTGGTAAATCCTCCGTCGTCATGCTGGAAAATGATGAAAATGAAAACAGAATTAACAGCATTAAGTCATATCAAGGAATATTCATAAATGATAATACTAGAACACTACAGTAAAGGGTACGGTGGTCAAGCGGATACAATCGAGTGCAGTGTTGGCTTCTGCATCGTTGTGTACAGGAGGCTTAGTAGTCAGTGTGCTGAATCTAAACGCCCGTGGGATGCACTATCACATATTAAGAGTAATACTAACAACAACAAAACACCATCAAGAAAATTAGTAAAGCAATCTTTCTTTTGTGATTGGTCAAACTATCTCGTGATTGGATGAAAGTTGACCAAGTCTACTGGAATCACCTTGTCATATACGTTAAGCAGACACTGACTATATAATCTTTAACTCACATTATAGTTCCTCTTTATCCTCAACGCACTCATCAGTCCCAGACACATGCAGTACTTCAATACAAATCTTCTCTCTCTATATAACCATTAGGCTACGAGGTTCTCCTATCTCTGTCTCTACCTACAATACAATCTAGCACACCTGGATATATCTTACCTGTGTCTTTACGTCCATTTCCCCTTCAAGAAGAGCGAGAGAGAGAGAGAGAGAGAGAGAGAGTCTAAATCTCAAGTTACATCTTTCTTCACGACATAATGGATTCCGTCATTACATCAGGTCCTGTGCTCCCCTGTACTGTCCTCGTCCAACCCACAGCATTAAAGCCTAACCTATGTTTCTGTCCATTTCATATTACATGGCTGACATTCGCGGCTCTTCATTTATAAACGTTTTACCACTCGGGGTTCTAAATATCTCTTCAAAATTATAATATAAAATAAAAACATTGTTAATATATATTTTTCCCCACGGCAACGACCGGATGTTAACAGCATGCATGTTTTATTTCATCAGAGAAAGAGAATGAAAAAAGGTAAATAAGTGAAGTAATTCTATTTCCTTTTTCTCCCGGTTACCGTCAGATGTACACGGGGACGGGCGTGTTGTCGCAGTTCGTCAATCTGCACGTGAACACTCCACGTGCTGCCGTACTCGGCCCCCAGGAGCTGCACGTGCAGGAGGGCGACACCATCACCCTCATCTGTGTCATCCAACAGGTAGGTGACACCTTTAACTGTGTCATTCAACAGTTAATTTTATTATTCAGCAGGTATGAGGCAACGTAATAAGTATCATGCAGTTGGCAGAACAAAGAGGGAAAGAGAGCGAGAGGGAGAGAAAGAGAGGAAGGAGAAGTAAGGAATATAAATCAACACGCACACGTAAAGGCAACATCAAAAGTATATCGCTTTGAACTTTAATTTCACAATCTGAACATATTGGAAGAGAAATTCGAATTTTTCGCTTCAGCTATCAAAATCTTGTTAAAGGATTGAAATCCATGCAAATGAAATCGGTTGATGCAATTTTTTTAATAATCGCGGGACCGAGCAAGTTATAATTCTATTATACCTTTCGTGGTCTCTTTTCCCGCCTACATATTCTATACTATATTCCTAAAAGTGATTTTTAGAAGCTGCGTGAATGAAAAATAAATTGTGGCTTTGTTCATGATATTTTCATTCTATGATGTAAATTAAACCGAGTTGCCGTGACGCCACGCTTCCATGATAACGAAGGCCGTGCGTTATCTTGGTATTACACAACTCGCCTATTCACTTGTGACGTCAACAGGGGACTAATGACATTCCTTCAGGTGTTTTCTTCAGTGTGTCTTTTCCTGCAGACAATAATGAAATCCTTTCATCATCACCACGAAGATCTGTGACGTAATAGACCAAGAAAATCTAAGTTCTTTGAAGGGAAGAAGATATGAGAAGAAGGTATAGAGAAAGTGTCAGCCATGAAAGTTCACTAATCAGGAACACGACAGCTCCGGGGCATAAAAGTCTTGTTGCGAAAGACGCTGAGAGCTAATTTTCGGGTGTTTGTTAGTACAGTAATCAATAGATAAATAATAAGAAAGATTTAGTACATAATTTTACTAATGTTGTATAGTGGATGTGTGAACAAACAACTACAACAGTCATTTTGTTTCCTAAAGCATTTTTCATTAAATATTTTTCAACTTGTGACGTTTCTTTTCATCAGCCGAGTATCAAACACCTTGCTTATATAAGTTGCTGTCAACATTAGTCGGTATAAACATAATTTGCGATAAACATAAGGATTTGCCACATCATCACCTAGATGTATTACTCTCATGTCTAGGGTCAATTGGATAAGACACGATCAATTAATTCAATCTAATCCACTATCTATCCTTCTTTTCAACTTCAATTATAAAACACATATCATTTCCTATCATGCTATCCATACCCCAGGCAAGTTCCCTTTAATCAGACTCCATTATCGTTCTTCTCCTTCATTCCTCACACTTATCGACTATGCATTACCTATCTCATCTTTCCATCAACTTATAAACGACAACTCATTATATGTCAGGTATATACTTACCTTTTATTACACGGCTAATCACATATTTCCACTTTTATTAGCCATTAGGTAAACCAAAGCTTGAATTTAGTTAAGTAACAATGTTTATAGAGGGGGATTCTGCTAAGTGTATCTTGTCTGGTTTATTATAATGTTAGAATAGGTTATTCTTCAGTGTAACACCTGCCTCCTCCTCCTCCTCCTCCTCCTCCTCCTCCTCCTCCTCCTCCTCCTCCTCCTCCTCCTCCTCCTCCCTCCTCCTTCCTCCTCCTTCTTCCTTTCCTTTTCCTCTGCTTCCTCCTCTTCAGAGTAAGTGATACTTCCTCTTTAACTTTAACCTTCTCTTCTTCTTCGTCTTCCTTGTCAGAGTAAGTGACCCTACCTCCTCCTAAGTCACACCACTAACCTCCTCTTCCTCTGCTCCTCCTCAGAGTAAGCCGCCGTTCGTGTTCTGGTATCACGGGGAGAACATGGTGAACTATGATGGTAATCGTCACCGCCTGAACGTGATCACCAAGGTGGAGGGCACCAGGACGCACTCACGGCTCACCATCACTGACGCAAGGTGAGACTACCAGCCAAGATGGAGGTTTGTTTACAAGGGAAGAGTCTTATCAATGTGTGTGGTTTTTACGCAAGATGGGACTGATACCTGAAGCAATAGTTTAATTACAAGGAAAGAGTCTTATTAATATGTTTGGTTTTGACGCAAGGTGAGACTAACAGGTTAAGTAATAGAGTTAACACAAGCATTATATCTCCCTGAAAATAATGAATTTATAGAAAAAGTTTGAGTTTTAGGGATTAAAAGATAAATTAAAAATGGTTTTATGTTTATCTGTGCCCACCACATACTGTCATGCATGTTTACAAGTCCTAACTTCATGTTGAATCACGTAATAAACCAGTTTTAATATGACAACTTTTCGCAATAGTACTTGAATTTTTTGCTCATTTCATGGTATATATTTTTAGTGTGTGTGTGTGTGTGTGTGTGTGTGTGTGTGTGTGTGTGTGTGTTAGGAATTTTCAATGAACTCATAAAGTGTGATATAATACCAACACTTTGACAAGAAGCAAAAAAAAAAAAAAAAATTAGGGAATTTTATCAACCCAAAAATTTAATTAAAATTATATACGAAGCTCACCCATATATCCATGACAGTGATAAAATTCATAGGTAAAACTGTTTCATAAAGTGGAATAAATGATGTAGATATTAAGTTCATTAATGTGTAAATTATAGCAATGCTCACTATAATTACCGGTGGGTCGTATTATAATTACCGTGGGTCACATTGTAATAATTATTGGTGTTGCACTATATAATTATTGGTGGGTCATACTATATAATTATTGGTGTCGCACTATTCCATTACTGGTGGGTCACACTATATAATTATTGGTGGGTCACACTATATAATTACTGGTAGGTCACACTATATAATTAGTGGTGTCGCACTTTACCATTACTGGTGGGTCATACTATGTAATTATTGGTGTCGCACTAATAATTTTGGTGGGTCACACTATATAATTACTGGTGGGTTACACTATATAATTACTGGTAGGTCACACTATGTAATTAGTGGTGTCGCAATTTGCCATTACTGGTGGGTCATACTATATAATTATTGGTGTCGCACTATATAATTTTGGTGGGTCACATTATATAATTACTGGTGGGTCACACTATATAATTACTGGTGGGTCACACTATATACTGTAATTACTGGTAGGTTACACAATATAATTATTGGGGTCACTATATACAGTACAGTAATTACAGGTGGGTCACACTATAATCATTGCTGGGTCACACTATATTATTACTGGTGGGTTACATTATGTAATTACTGGTGGGTTACATTACATAATTATTGGTGGGTCACACTATAATCATTGTTGGGTCACACTATATAATTACTGGTGGGTTACATTATATAATTATTGGTTAGTTAAATTATAGAATTACTAACAAATACAGGTACGTTAATTTCAAGCTGATATCATTTCACATACGCTAATCCGATCTAACAAAAATGTGTGTGTGTGTGTGTGTGTGTGAAAGAGAGAGAGTGAGTGTGTGAGAGAAAGAGTCAAGAGTCATGAACATTCTATAAATCTTAGTCACAATATTCTATCACATCAGTATCTACAATCTATTACTTCTCAGAGAATCTATTGTCTCACACCCTCCACCGCCTGTCGCCAAGTGTCACAAGTTTCGCTTCCTCGGCAACACAAACATAGCCACACCATCTCAAGGAAATTCCACTCTCTCATTCATGGCAAACATCATATCTTAATGTTTTGTTCCAATGTTTGTTTAAAGATATTACACGTCTATCACCAGTTTCCAGCGCCACTGTCTGTCGGTTGATATATCTCATGTGTTGTAAACCTGTATGACCAACGTGTAGTAAAGATAAACATAAAAGTCATATATATCTTTTTTATCTCTTAATTTTACTTTCCATGACAGTTGATGTTAAAATCCTGTGAATAAATATTTTTTGATGAACTAAGCAAACACATGAAAAATTTACAACCTGAATTTATATAGATCCACAAACCACGTCAAATATCTTGGCCACACGAATATCACTCACAGGTTAGTCTTTTTTGTCCTTGGCCGTGGTGCGTCATGTAAGATTCCCAGCATGGCCACCACCTGAATTATTAACCTATCCTGGCAATGACTCGGGAATGTCGGAAAGAGAGAGAGAGAGAGAGAGAGAGAGAGAGAGAGAGAGAGAGAGAGTCAGTTTCTTGGTGGTCTAAATGTATTGGATCTGCATTTCTCTCTATGCAAATGTCCTTAAAATCATAACATTCTTCAAGACTTATTATTTTCGTGTTATTCCTAAGTTCCATCATCGGATTTCCGCAATTAGTTCATAGTTGAAATAATGGTTTAAGTATTGAATATATAAATGATATTCTGGAGGCAAGGATGACGAGGTCTCTGTTTGTTATCGTCTGTCAACAAGGTATTGGTGTTTGTGGCGCTCTGGACATCACTGTCATTTTGTTTACGTGTGTATTTGTGTGTGTGTGTGGAGGTCGGGGGAGGGTGGGAAGGGTAGAGGGACTGCACAAGTATATATGCAGATTGTATGTGTATATCTTGTATAAAACAGAGGTCCACGGAATTGTTATGTAATCCTTTTTGTGTTTTAAGTGTGAATAGAATTTACATGTTGAATATTTTACTGTGTTACCAACTGGAAGTGCAGTGGAGTACTTCACCCCGATACTGAATAACACGTCAGCAGTCTCTCAGGTGAATTATAAACACTACAGTGTCACAGACCTTAGTTGTTGAACCACAGGAATATATTATAACGTCAACATCAACCGCTACTTCACCTTGCCACACAGTGTTGAATGTTTTAGAACACACCGGGTGGACAGTCCAGTAAAAAGTAACGCTAAAAAGTATATAAAGACCAATTATATCACGTAAGACCAAAACGTATAAAGTAAGACCAAAGAGTATAAAGTAACATCAAAAAGTATAAAGACCTGAAATTATAAAGTAAGACTAAAAAGTATAAAATGGGACTTAAAAGTATAACGTAAGACTAAAAAGTGTAACGTAATACTAAATAAGTATTAATTAGAACCAAAAAATATAAAGTAAGACTAAAAAACTATAAATTAAGACAAGCAAGTATAAAGTATAACCAAAAAGTATAAAGTAATAAGTAAAAGTAAACAGAGAAGTATAATGTAAAACCAAAAAATATAAATTACTAGAGTATAAAGAAACACCAAAATGCATAAATTAACACCAAAAATTATAAAGTAAAATCAAGAAGTTTACAGAAAGACCAAAAATCTGATAATAAAAATATTAGAATTCCCAATACGAGAAACCGGGGGAAATATAAAGAATTCACAAAGCAGAAAAAGAAAATTCGATAGCTAAAAAGGCAAAGTCAAACATCTCCCCAGACTTCTAAAAGTTCATGAGGGATAAACTGGAGATAAATAGTGACACAGGACGGAAAGAATGAGACAAGTGTTGATGAGAGACTGAGAGACAGACACGTATTTTTGGCAGAGGGAGAGTCGAGACATGAACTTATCCCAGGAATTAGCTTTGAGGAACCACGGAACTAGTTTAAATATTATCGAAGAGTAAGTCAAGAAAGATCTAATGAAAATGGTAACCAGTTGTTTTGCCCCGTAGCCCATCCGCCCCCCCCCCCTGCCTATTCGCCCCATAGCAAGTTCGCCCCCTACCAGTTTGCCCCCCTACTAGTTCGCCCCATAGCTAGTTAACCCCATAGCTAGTTCACCCCATAGCTAGTTCACCCCATAGATAGTTCACCCTATAGCTAGCTCACCCCATAGCTACTTTACCCCATAGCTAGTTAACCCTGTAACTAGTTAACCCCATAGCTAGTTCACCCCATAGCTAGTTCACCCCATAGCTAGTTCACCCCATAGCTAGTTCACCCCATAGCTAGTTTACCCCATAGCTAGTTCACCCCATAGCTAGTTCACCCCATAGCTAGTTCACCCCATAGCTAGTTTACCCCATAGATAGTTCACCCTATAGCTAGTTAACCCCATAGCTAGTTCACCCCATAGCTAGTTAACCCCATAGCTAGTTCACCCCATAGATAGTTCACCCTATAGCTAGTTTACCCCATAGATAGTTCACCCCATAGCTAGCTCACCCCATAGCTACTTTACCCCATCGCTAGTTCACCCCATAGCTAGTTCACCCCATAGCTAGTTTACCCCATAGCTAGTTCGCTCCCTACTAGTCTTCATACCCCGATTCATGGCGTTTAAGCATATTAAAAATGTGTAAGATGTTATAAGCAGACTACTAGTGATAATCATAATCTGTTTACAAGAAAATAATTACCCTAGGAATGGAATAATTCAAATATAAATGTTGCATTTACACTTGGGTTATGGAAAATTGGCCATTAACCACGGTCTTGTTACCCTTAAGTACAGTTGCGGACAAAATTACCTGGACAGTATCTGGTATGTAGTCGCTTGAGGATCATTAGGTGAGGGAGATTGGAATTTTAATGTATTTTCTCAGATTTGTGATCCCGACATAATGTGTGATGAAAAACAGCATTATTATATATAACTCAATCATGATCCTGAAATAGATGTCAGATGTTACCAAATGTTCAGGGAATTTTGTCCCCAGCTGTAGAACGTAAATTGAAATATAGAATCGTTAATGAGAAACTTGGGTCGTATGGTGATAATTCCTGTTAATTTGATAATCTAACAATCAGACGTGAAAGATGTAAACGAATAATTAACTCGAGTCAGTTTTCTCTCTTACAGAAAATACAAATTCTAAGTTCACATTTTTCTAAGGATTCACTATTCTTTATTTCATATTTTCCCGTTAATTATATTCTAATTCTTTCTGTTTATTTCTCGACAGACACACAGATTCCGGCAACTACTCCTGCATCCCACCCAACGTGGAGCCCGCCTACGTGTTGGTCTTCGTCACTGAGAGTAAGTTCCTGGAGAGAGAGACAGAGATTGAGATAAATAGAGATAGACAGAAAGACAGGCAGACAGAGAGTAAGAGAGAGAGACAAACAGAGACAGAGACAGACAGATGAACAGAGACAGACAGACAGACAGAGAGACAGACAATCAGAAAACCTAAGAAAGTGTAAACCTCTTCTGTTCAAAAGCCATCATTAACGTCTTGCCCTTAATCCCAAATAAACGAGCTGCTAATACGACCCAGTTCCTCCTGCACTTTCTCTCTCTCAAGTCTTTTGTTATATAATACCCATTAATGTTGTACTTAATGGCCTTTTCCTCATCTTCTACGACACCATCTTCCTTCAGGAGGCGACACGGTGGCGGCGATACACAGTCGGGGTCACACTTCCGTGGCGGCAGACAGTTCCTCCGCCGTCAGGTTGGTCGCCACTCTCTGCCTGGGCTGCGTTTTCTCCTTCGCTCACTTCCTCCCCGTCAGATGATCGCCTGGCTGCATGACGCTCTACTAGATATACATATATATACTGTATATATATATAGAAGAGAGAATAATTTGTGTTAGAAAAGAATTAGCGACAAGACTATAGATGAACGCCTCTTTTTTTACTCTTTGGTATATTAAGAAAAAACTTACAATTTTGGAATGATTAGTGTTGAAAACTTGATGATGGCAAGAACTGCTTATGAGACTTGCATTGATTTGAACTGACAGCCAGACTTGGAAAAATATAAAGAAATTTCAACAGGATTGTCACAGTTCAACACAAAGAGTTATAAGTTAATACAAAATCAGTGATGTATTTCCCAAGAGGAGGTGTGAGAAGAATCGAGACCAATACAAACGTTAATTAAATCAACCAGAGTTAACACGTTGCTGGTACAGGTGAGAGACAAGACTTTACAGGTGTGATAAGAGGAACATGTAACCTTGTGACCAGAATGATAATCTCCTTATTACCTCTAATGTGAACGTTAATTACGAATAAAAATATAAATGACGGAAAATATGACGCAGAATGTGACATGCGATGGACATTTTAACAAATTGTATTTTTGTTTTCTTCAAACATAGAATTTATGGTTCAGGTATTAGTTAGGTATTATTTTTACCTGTTGGTAGAGGTCAATACTCACTTACATCCTACAAAAAACATTATCATCTCAGAACAAATGAAGACTGTGACACTAAAATCAAATCTAAGCTATCCGAATCAAAACAACATCTGGAATTAAAGGCTTACTACTTACCTATGGGAAGTGTCAACACGTAATAAACACGTATAGATGGAAATTCTCTTAGATTTTGAGGATTACAAAATACTGTAATCTTTCTCTCCCTCCCCCAGTCCAAAACCTCTTGTCAGCCTACAGAGTAAAGTGATCTATACATAATTATTCATAAACAAAAACACAAGTATGATTTTATTTCCAACAGACACTCCATACGTTTAAAGGTTGTCAAAGAAATGGATTACTCATGTGTATGGATTATGTCTTCTCAGTTTTCTTTTTAGTATTTGAGCAATGTGGATAATTTGTACTAATGGAGATAATCTATGAACCTCTTGTGTACGGAGTTGTCGTCTCTGAGCTGAAGAAAATCGTCTGACGTTAACCATATGAAGAGGTTGGTGGAGATATAGTCTTCAGAAATGGTTCGATAAGTTCTCTCACTGTGATACATCTATTGACCTTTAACAATACAGCTGACGTCAATTTAACCACATCGCATTCAAGTTGGTCTCACCTATAATGAAGAAGTTCTGAGTAAAGCAATGGCAGGTGAGACCACAGAATATAGAGTTTAGTACAGGAAATTACCAATAGACTTTCCTTCTAGTGGATGTAGAGGAAAAGAGATTAAACTTATGGATAAAAAAGAAAGGAGGTTCATATCTACACCAGGAATGATAATATGTTATTTCGTCCACTCTCTATCTGACAATACTAAGACATTTTCCACATCCCAAGACTTAAACCATTCATAATATATTACACTGGACAATATATTAACAGTCAGTGCTTCCATATATCTAGCTCTAATAACTAGAACTTATGTAAACCTTCAGGATTTGCTAGATATTATTATTATTATTTTTTTGCAGGGTTGAAACCTCTATTGAAGTTTTCCCAACCTCACAGTGACTGACAAGCAATTATTCGTATTTAGCCATCCGTTCAAGACATACAATCAATTTTAAGTTTATTTCCCTAATTATATTTGTATATGTGACTAATTTATAGGATACACAGAGGTAGTAACATTCATATAAGTATATTGTAATACAAAATATCAGGAAATTCATTTGAATAATATACCGTATGTAATAACTCAATCTTATCTATACTATTTACATCTAAGAACCCCAAAATATTTACTTTCTATCATTCCCTCTCACATATAATAAATAAAAGCTAAATAATAATGAATGAAACTCCCAGTAACTCTTTCTTCAACACATCACAACGCGACAGACACTCAACTCATCAACTGGAGTCTGAACATCATGAGATATTTAGCACAGATAAGAAACTCTTACTTCCACACACTAATGATCAGTTGGGGAGTTTAAAGAAAGTTTCGTATTCATTTACCTTCCCCGAACAAAGTTAACTAACATGCATGGGCGATTTCTACTCTTTAATTCACCTCTACAGCAGCACACAGGATAAACATGACACCTTATACAATATTGTGTACTCCTTCCTCTGTAAACGTGACTAATTATATTTATATGCTTATATATAACAAAGGAAAGTAAGTTAAGTGTGCTTTACAACAGATGGCCTAAGAAGTATACGCGGTATAAGAGTATAATGTATGTGCCACAGGATGTATAATTTGTATAATTATGTATTATACTTATGACTAAACGAACAAATTTTAATGACAAAAATGACTATTTAGCGCAGAAATTTTTACTGCTGGTGGATGTTCCATGAGAAATGGTGTTATAATCCGTTTGTGTTTTAGTTGAATATGTTAATTTAATAAATAAACATATTACTTAATTATGTCTCTTTTTTTAAAATCATATGAACAATTAATCTAATGACCAAGACTGAGAGAGCTTTATACAGAGTAACATTATATATATATATATATATATATATATATATATATATATATATATATGTGGATAATAAAGATGCTTAAAAATATGTATATATGTAAACATAAGTAATGTAATCAGGTATCTGCCAATTTTTGTATGTTCGTTTATGTATAACAGGTGAAATATTAATATTATTATTACATAGAGAACTTCCTATTACGGTCTATGTTGATGACACCTTCACTCCTGTGTGTGTGTATAAATTGGTTAGTCGTTGTTATGACGAGGAATATTTAGCTTTCAGGAATATTAGCTTCATTTTGCAGCTGCTTCCACTGACCCGAAGATTCAGTGACGTTTTGTATATCATGATATTTTAATACTTTGCCTTCCTTGTTGTATATATTAATGTTTGATAAAGAGAAATATTTATGATATATTTAAGATCCTCATCATCAAGTTCCCTGTATTGCTTTAATTATTTGATATATCAACACGGTTCATGTTTATAAAGGAATGTTGTCATTCCATCATTTTTTGTAAGATTCCATTTGTATTTATTTCAATGTACATATATAGACTTCTGGTATTACACACATCAGTAATGTTGGAGATCCTTGCTGTAACGTTTATATTAAAAATTTATAAGCGATGGTATTTTTTTCTTGTCCTTTAAGAGAATGTTGATATTCACATTAATATCATGTACACATGAGGTAACATTCAGTACATATACAGTATGTAAATTATACACACACACACACACACACACACTACTACAACTACTACTACACTACTACCACTACTACTTTGCTGTCACTCGGAATCGTGTATAACGATCATCCAGCTATGATACAATGATGTGAGTTATTAAGGATGTCACCTAGGTTGGTGAGTTCTGAGGTGACTAAAGAAGCCGATACGGGACCGGCAGGGTCGATCACAGGTGTTGCACATGGTGGGGAGCTACATCTAGTGCGGGAGGGGCGGCGGGAGGGGCGGCGGCAGCGTCTTTCCGGCGTTGGCGCTTGTCTGCCTCGTTATGTAGTCAGGCTAACTCGAGAGTATCGACACCTTCTCGTGTGGTTTTCCTCCAAGCGTTACGGTGTGGAATAATCGACTCCCAGGTGAGGGGGTCGATTTGGCACTTTTTCAGGCGCGCGCGCACACACACACACACAGACACACAACAATTTATCTCAAGGGTCATTAATTAACACATTTACTCACTTATATTTTCTGAAGTAATACTAAGAGACTCTGAGTATGTAAGTTATTGCTTACTACGGACCTTACATCATGAAATGAGAAACTGACAGACAGACAGACAAATAAATTTCAACCTGTCTTCGCGACGGTACATACTACTCAACACCACAAGTACTCAACTGTCTACACAGGGATACAGATATACATTAATGTAATCAAAGTGTTGCCTGACCTTCATCTGGTGACTGTGTTTCCTTTGACCATATCGTAAGGTAAGAAACTTTTCAATGACCTTCAAACCGGGAAAATGAAGGCATCTGACACATGGGAAACTAATCCTTCAGGTGGCCAGGACTTATAAGACTAAGACTTTGGCCACAACCTTTGACTCGTCTTAATCAAAAACCTTTTCATACTTCCCTGTTGGGCGCTGTAAACGCTTCTGCGCTTCACCTTGCACAGGATGTAAGGGGGTGCCCAATAAACTAGCCCCTTCGGGGGCAAATCTTAATCAAAAACACGACCTTCGGGAAGCTAAGTTAACTGGTTAAAGGCATTAACACTGCAGTGAAAATACTAACAAATACATTATCCAACAGACAGAGACTTCATACATATCATTGTATACACTAAACATACACCTCAACATACTCAGCTAAATATAATATATACTCTGATATTCACTAAACTTAAGTGATATTTACTGAGCATACATAATATCTCCTAAACATACACATTGATACTGAACATACACCATCATGATATATATACTGTACATAAGTTAAATAATCCATAGAATAACTTATCACCCGTATACATAGCCATTCAGATAACAAAGGTTCTATGTTATTTATGACACACAGGTAAAGGAGCAGTAACCGAGTATGGCAACAAAGTAAAGGAATACTTACATCCAATAACTCCTTTTTACTACTGAAAAAATGACATGCTTAGTGAACTGTATGTGTGCTTACCTTAACACCATATGAAGGGGCTACTTGCTTTACCTGCGGAGTGGTTCTTGATGTGGGATTATTAATGTTTATGGGAATTAAAAAACATGGGTTATAGAGAGACAGACAGACAGATACAAAGAGAGACAGAGACACACACAGGCAGAGAGAGAGAGCGGGACACACAGGCAGACAGAGAGATGGACAGACAGAGCAGACGGACAGATAGACTGACAAATGAAAAGAGAGACAGACAGACGAACTGAAAAGAGAGAAGGAGATAGAGAGCAAGAGACAGACAGACAGACAGATAGACATAAATAAAAAGAGAGACAGGCAGACAAACAGAAAGAGAGAGGAAGAGACAGACAGACAGAGGCAAAGACAGACAGACAGAGAGGCAAAGACAGACACAATCACCATACCAAAATATATTTGTTATAAGAACTGGACTAAAACTTATAACAGGCGATAAAAAAAATATATATTCTCTAACACTTCACTGAGTTTATTGTTTATGAAATTCTTTCCCGTTAGTAGAATGTGACGACCCCTGCCAGGAAAAAAAATTAATTGAGTTATAGCAGAGAAAATGACGGTAGATTCTCCAGGTGGAAAAAATAACAAACTTCCCTAATCACAAAAAAACAGCAACGTCTTCTAAGTGATTTTTATAGAAGTTCGATAGATGGTGACCAAAAAAATACATCTATCGGTGATTTAAGATGTTATTATGAGGTAAATAACGTTGGTGATTTATAGTAAAAAAATTTAAGGTACTTCTAATCAATTCTCGGCTTACAAAGGTAGAAACAGTTTACATTTACTTTTTTTTTCACCGCCAAAGAAAAGGGAATATATTTTTAGCTGTAGTGTTTGTGACAGTGTGCCGCCTTCCTCAATGGAAGTTGTATTTGCTGGTAATTTAATTAGTGGATCATCATCAAAGCTCTTGTGTAGGATAACCTTTTGGGGGGGGGTAGGGGGGTTCTTGTACTGGTATGATTGGAAACTCGAGGGAGAAAGAAACGGAAGGCTGGTATTACAGGTTTGAGTTTATGATTTTTTATATATTTTTTCTCTTTATATGTGAATGGAATGATGTGTGTGTGTGTGTGTGTGTGTGTGTGTGTGTCCTAATCACAGACACTGAAGTACTCTGTCTCATCCAGTGAAAAATATTGGAGGAAGAGGATCAGTTATTGTTTTTCAGCCATAGATGATTGTTTCCATGTTGTAAAATTGCATATCCGGCCGAGGCATTTACCGGTAGCAAAAATATAAGAGGTATTTGTATATTATTTTTTCCATCGCGTGTGTGTGTGTGTGTGTGTGTGTTTATTCAGGTGAGTTGCCGTAGGTACAACATGCAATATATATTTACAAACATAACATTTCTCTTTCAGGTTAGTAACTCATTAAAAAAAAATCTCAAACTGGATTTAACTCTTCAAAGCTCTAAGTTATATAACAAAATGTAGAGGATGACAGTGGTATGAGATCAAACAATAGTTCAAAGGAGATAATTTATTAGGGTGATAATTAACACAGTTTACCTTCAGGGGGGAAAAAGAAGTGAATTGAATTACCAGTTTTGAATCTAACATTGTGCCATTTAATTACTGACTAACATTATCCTGTATACAATGAAACGCTGTGACAAGGTTTATTCTATTAGCTAAATCACATATCACTTGATCCTCCTTTGGGTGTTGTCAATGAGATCAGGTTTCCATTGCGTTCCTGATACTGCTTTTAGATACAGGTTAAACTCCACATACTTGACTGGGATGGTTAACTCACTCATTTTAATTAATTTGTGATGTCCCTTCTTGCTACCACAACATTGAGGAAAGGCAAAGTTGACAAGCTAAAATAATGAGTGAATAATCTATGGCTTGAAATACGTGGATGTAGCAAATAAGGAACACTCACGCAAGAATCACTGTTATCGTGACAGAAAATTTAAATTATGGAATGGATAAGAAGATTATTAAATAAACTGGATCATTTAATAACATTTATATTATTAAGTATTGATTAATATAGTTAATTAGGTACATTAAACAACACAAGTAAAACACAAATATGCAATTATCAAAACACACCAGAATATTATCGGATTATTCTTACTTTAAACATTAAATACACATACTATATACAACACAAAAACCCGATAGATGTGGCAGCCCATGTAGCAAGACTAGGTTGCGATGGCCAACCACAAAGAACCAGGGATTAACACCGTAGTCCACTACCATCAAACCCTCACAACACCACCAGCAGCAGTAGTCCGTAATCCAATCCTTCGTCCACACCCCGGGAGAAGAGAAACACCGTAGGCCGCAGAGAAGAGACTGAGGTTACCAGACACACACACTTGCTTCGATTCCTCGGTCTCATAGTCGGATGGGAAACTGGTTCTCATCGGTGCTCGAGTAGTTTCGTTAAGTAGTGTCTTCTCCTGGTGTCAAGTTGGAGCAAGAGGTAGAGAGAATAAGTTGGTTGGATAATGTAAACATAATGGGATTAATTGTTTCGCTCCATTATATAACTCTATTTACTACACAGGAGACCACAACAGTGATTCAGAAAATTAGATACTTGTTATATTATTTTAAAATACCAGGAGCCTTAGAGTGTACCCAGTTAAGGACGACCAATCTGCAGAATTTAACTAAACAATCTTAAATAGAATAAACTCCAAGATAGTTATTCGAAGATCTATGTTAACTGGAGAGATTAATAAAAAAATTGATATATATGGTGAAAACTGTGCATCCCAAAATCGCCTTTAGGGTGGAGGGTCGTGGTCAATAACCCTCAGACATTAGGATAATATCATAACTGTTTGAACTGGTTGGTTACATTCAA